AGTGAGGGGACAGAAGGAGAAGATGGGAGTTTTTGCAGTGGGTGTGGTTGGTTTGAAGTCCTGTGTGTGTGGGGCTGAAAATTGACTACTGATTGTTCTGGTAAATATATGAAATATATTTATATATAATATAAATGATATGAATATAAATATAAATATATACATGTAAATACATTTAAATACATGTAAATATTTTCAAAATATATACATGCATGTGTGTTTAATCGTTTGACTGCACTAATATATATATATATATATATATATATATAATGCACTTCAAAAAAAAAAGGAAAAGGAAACTAAAGAATACAGGACACACAGAACTACGAATATTATTAAAGACTGTTAAACTCCATAACACACAACTTCCTCCCATACTGGCTAGAAGCATCAAAACCAAAAGATCACAGATGCTTCCTGGGCACGAGGCCATTGTTCACAGCCTTGGGAGGTGTCTGACTTCCCAAACCTCTTGTTTTTGCTTTCCTTCCCTCTTGTGTTCCCTGTTCTCTCTTGGCTTCATCCATCACACCACCAAAAACACAAAGAATCGCGCCTCAGGTGGCCCGACTCATCCAATTGACACCTTTCATTTCAGTGGAGGGAGAGAAAGACACATCCACGTGGAACAACTGTCATTATGCACTCATGAGATGAGAGACGGGGCTCTGCAAATGTTAATAATAGCAATCTCTTTCTTGCTGCCCTTTGCTTAATACCATCCCCGGTGGCATTTCCAGGGCTCAGCTGGGATGGAGGAAACAGGTTAGGTTGCGGGAGGTTTTAAAAATCTTTGCAAACCCAGCCTATATGGGGGAGCTCTATCCATAGAGCTCTATATCTCAAAAAACAATCTGAGAACTGTATATAATAAGTATTACTGTAGATTTAACGACTTCGGCCTCTCTGATCATGCATTTATAGCTCTGGCTGTCCTCCACGTCCTTGACCTCATCACTTTATCTGCATCAGCTAAAGCAGCTGTTCGATAACCTGCCTCAAGGCGGCATGCGAACACAACGCCACTGTGAACCTGTGAGCGCAGTGTTCTTTGTTCAATATTATTTATAGATATTTAGTCAGCTAGCATAATGGGAATCGGCGTTCTATCTAATTACTCTCTTTCATTATAATTGACACATGGTACCTTTTCGTCCAACCCTCTAAATATTTAAAAAAAGACAGAGAGGGTAATTAATAGTATGTGCACATGAAATTAGAGCTCGTAATTCGACATTGGATTTGATGGCGACGAGCTCAGCGGGGTAAACTCACAAACATCCATAATTACATATCATTACAGACATTTTCAAACAGGCATTGTGAATTCGCCCAGCGCTGTGCTCTCTCTCTGACACAGTATGGGGAGGGGGCACCGCTATTTCTATAGACACACTTCTAAACTCATCTCAGCAGCGCAGGCAGCTGGCTCTTGGCCTTTTCTCATCTCTAAAGGTCAGCATGGCATCCGTTGCCGTCTCCGTGGGCTGTAATTCTTTGACGCCTGCTCTGCAGAGCCAAGTGGGCTCTGCAGAGCCAAGTGGGCGAAACGACACATTATAGAGCTCCGGGACGTCCCTCACCACCCAGTGTCGTATCTGTCAGGACGGAGAGTGCTCAGCGAACGGGAACGGTGTGTTCTCGCAGCCTAGAGGCTTCTGGGACGGTGGTCTGTCACAACCCAAAATTTCCATTCTCATGCTCTTACTAGTAGTTCATTTGGGAACATTTTGGTTTGGTCTGACCTTGTTAATGTTTAACTCTACTTTGGCTGCTCATTATCTGTGTTTGAATGCAACACGAGAGGTCTGGCTACATGTAAATAGGTTAATTCCTATTGCCCTTAATTAAATTAAATTTTATGTGCACATTGTCTATTTAATGCCCCTAAATGCTAGCTAAAAATTTTGGCTTGGAAATGAAAATAAATCTGCTTTTAATTGCTGTTGCACAGAAATATGGCAACATTCATACAAGGTCTCCTCACATCAGTCTATTCACCATGCTGTTTAGACCATACAATACGTTCTGAATGCAGTCAGCGCTAGCCAAGGCCAAAGTTTGCCTCAATAATCTGCAAGGGAGCCGTCTGAACAGATACACACAATAGTAAGTGCAACAAGCACTTATTGAATGGAAATATCTCTTCAGCCTAGCCGTTACTGCTCAATAGAGCATTCTTTGCTTGTCAGTGCGGATTAATGTTTTCAGTCGGCTACAAGGTGTTGTGCTGAATAAATAGTGGGTCGCACATCTTTGTCAGGGAGGAGGGGTACAAAACTCTCCAGTTTTCAGTCTAAACTATTATCTCTAAAAGTTCAAACAAAATGGTGTGGGAGTGGGAGATCAGTTATCTGATGTCGCACTCATGTCAGTTTTGGGTGTTTCATTTTTAATTTTATGAAAGCTTCAAGTGCAGTTAATTATTTGTACGTGCATACAGACAATGGCGGTGTTGAAGCTCTTTTATTTGCCATCAAACGGTTGACCACTGCCGTGTGTGTATCCTGTCGCAAAATGCAGCGAAAAGTCCTGCACGACGGTAATAATGTGATTAAGGTGTTTACATGTCTATACTGCACTTCAGTAATGCGACTAAAATAGGAATACTCCAAATGTCTTAATTCGATTTCATTCAGTTAGCATGCTAAATGAATTCCTCAGGTTGGGATGAATGAAGTGGGACACAGCTGTCATGAGTAGAAGCAGGTCTCCTACCTTCTTATAAAGGCTCCGGAGATCTCTGTACTGCCACATGCTACTGAGAACCTGAGATGCTGCCTTTACCACTTTAGGTGAGTGTCTGTGTGTGAGAGAGAGAGAAGAAAACAGACAAGTAGAGTCAACAGCAATAAATGGACATATGTTTCAACAGGCATTCATTATTATCTGTTAAAATTTGATCAATTTTTAAGAGCATATCACTGGAAGATTTATTACAATAAGTAAATTATTTTATCTAATAATTATATTAAATGGTTGTATATTAAATCATATTTATATTATTGTTTATTTTCTTAATATGTTATTTATTTATTAAAAGGAATATTATTAAACAACATAAAAATAACAATAGTAATAAAATGAAAAGCAATTTATAAAAAAAAATTCTAATGCAATGAAAAAAAATTAACTACTTTCTTTAACTTCTTTTTTCTCAGAAATTTATTTTACTTTTATTTACTTTTATTCATCAAATAATCCTGTAAAAAAAACGCATCACAATTTTTACAAAAATATTAAGCAGCACAATTGTTTTCAACATTGATAATAAGAAATGTTATCAAGTCAGCATTTCAGAATGATTTCTGAAGGATTATGTGACAATGAAGACTGGAGTAATGATGCTGGACATTCAGCTTTACCATCACAGGAACAAATTACACTTCTGAATATATTAAAATAGAAAACAGTTCTTTTAAATAGTTTTAACTTGTTTTATTTTAAACTGCTTTTACTGTATTTTGATCAAAGTAAGCCCTGGTGAGCATTAGAGAAGAAAAAATCTTACCAACCCCAGACTTTAAAAGTAGTGTGCTTTTGATGTTTTGATGGATGACATCACAGAAAAATAATTTTTGGAATATACTTCGTGTTGTATGAACTGAACACACAAGCCTGAGTTAAACCCAATTCTCCAGTTGATCTATATGCAGCACATCAATATAACAGTGACATCTAAAACAACACATTTTTAAGCAAACTAATGGTAAAATGTTTACAAAATATCCTAACTCTAAGATCAAAATGCCAATACCAAAATATAACAGAGGAAAATGAGAAACCAATCCTGGTACACTGAGCTCAGAAAGCATTTGATGCCGTGAATGTGTTTTCTCTGCTTTCTGTGCAAACATCTCACACGGACAGCAGCTTTTGTTATGATTAACAATGCACTAACAAAAGAAACAATCTCTTGGTTCTCAAAAATGACACAAATTGTTTGACTTCAGCTGAATTGATAAAACAGCTGTGTGTTTTTTCTTCCGCTGAGCCGACTCAATCCATTTCAGCTCAAAGGACACAATGGAACAGTTTACAATTGGCACCTGAAATGAAGTTAGAGGAAAATCTTTGCCGTCCTTGAGGGAACATGGCTTTAATAGAGGAAATTAATGCTGCTCATCCTTCATCATTTCCTCTCATAAATGGCAAAATGGATTCTTAAGAGGTGGAGCTGTATGTTTGATTTGTCCCTCCCCTCATTTTTCAACATGGATTTTAACATGCTCAGATCTTCAGTTGAGTCAGGCCCTATCTCAAATTAAACTCCCTTATTTGTTGATGTAAGGGCGCAAAGTCTGTCAGATTTGTTGTGAAGTTTGCATAAGTGCAGATTTCACAAATGGAAACCATAGAGTAAGCGAAAAGTTGTGTGCCAAATAGTATGTTTGGGAAAAAGTTTTAAATTACAGTAGATTTTTAATACATATATAAAAGCAGTTTTTGTATTTGTTGCTTTTTAAATAGCTTATTAAAAAAAGCTATCCAGTCAAGAGCAGTGAGTTCATTATTTTGCTTTGTCATGCATGATGTGTTGAGAACATATCACAATCTGCACCAAATAAATCCACTTCAAATCAAAAAAGTCATCAAATCTGATGCATATCACAACAAGCGCGCTGGTTGCTGCCACATGCCGGTACTAAATCAACCGGTTGCATTTGTGCTATATCCAGACAAACAAGCACCCGAGTGGCTTGTCCCTTTGATAACCTCTCAGCAGGAAACTGG